TAGAGAGATAGATAGAGAGATAGATAGATAGATAGATAGATAGATAGATAGATAGATAGATAGATAGATATTATCAGTATTTGATTTTGAATAGGAGAAGTTAAAAAATACACATAAACTGATTCTGAAATTCTTATAATTTCCTGATCCTGTAATCCAAATACACGACCCGCCTAGTAGTAAAACCTGGTCAGTAATGAGGGCTGGGAGACCGGGTGCACGCAGCTTCGTTTGCTAAAGGGCGACGATCCACGCTATTTCCCCCCTCTAGCAGACTGTATAGGGCTCTATGGCATGACCCTCGGGTATGATCAAGGCGGATCTCTCTTTTGACTGTACACACAAGTTGGAGAATGTGTTAAGATAGATACACACTCGTCCGATTTACCTGAAGTTGGCTACAGTCGCTATGACAAGATCTGTCTGAGCTAGACCCAGTTCAACAGTTCCGGATTCGATTTCAGTAGAACAAGAGCATATATTTTCTTTTTCATTCAATGGATATATATGCTTGCCTAAAGAAACCGTTAAGAATTTTAAAACTTTCTAACGATGATGGAGGGGGTGCTTCCTAAAGCGTATTTAGACTGTATTTGCAAAATTCCGCAAGCACTTGAATTGTAATAACTGCCAACAAAGGATGACACCATCAACCATAAAGGAATGCTTTTTTACTCACTCTTTCCTTTGAAATTATCCATTAATACAAGTAGTATTAAATTGACGGACCTCTATACGAGAACGCTGATGGGCTGATGGTATGAAGCAAAGCTCAGAATTCAGAGATGTTGTCTGGGTGAAATTGCCTTTGAGACGTTATTCAATTATTTATGACTGTCTGATCTTCTTCTCAGATGAGTTTACAGGGAATGTAAGAATTCAGACACGCGTCTACCCCACTTAACCGTACAGTGTGCAAACAACGCAATATCTAGGAGCTGAATTCCACATTGCAACGTCATTCAATACGAAAATAAAGTGAGAGCTAGCAACTGTTTTGAAGTCTAACGCGATCACGGCACGCACGCAGATCATTTTGTCTTGGACAAAATGGTATGGTTGGCAAAAACACACAGATTATTCTATTATGCCCCTGCCACGGGGGAACGGGCTTAACGAAGCTGTCAGATATGCAGTCACACACGACGCAAAGAACCACTCAAAAATGCGTGCGCAGACGGAGAATGAATGAATGAATGACATTTTGCAGAGTTTCAAAATCAGGAAAAAAATGACTATAGTTGTTGTTTTGGGGTTTTTTGCACAGAGTGTCACAAATGTTTCTACTTTCCGGAAGGCTTAGGGCGTCGGTTATGTTTAGTTTGGTAACTCTGCCGTTGCACACAGGGTTACGGTGTTTGCCTCTCATTTAATAGGTTCCGGGTTCAAAACCAGACAGTGACGG